ACCATCATCATCTTCACTATCATCATAATCAAGTAGTAAGTAATAAGGTCGAAAACAAAAACTAGTGCAAAGGAAACGATATAGTGCATAATTTCAATTTGATTTTTTCACTTCATGGTTTTCATTTTTGGGGACATTATCTTCATCTCGAATTWAAAAAATAATTGAAGAKTTTTTCTCGATTATATTTTCACATTTCAGTTTTATATAAATTGGGCTCCCTGTGCCCATYGGCAGCTCCTCTTTTAGACAGTGCCTAAACTTTATATATTCAACACGCCAAATTAATTTCGACGTCGTTACATGTTATAGCGGAGCACCATACTTAAGAAAAATTGGTAACCCATCGATTTGTTTCTTCCGCATGGCTTGAATAGGTCACTTCCGTCCGCCCGTCCGTCAGTCGTCCTTCAGTCGTCCGTGCGTCATTTTACAATAACTTACAACTTTCTCGCGCGCTGATTRGTTATTCTTATCATCAATAACAGGACAGGACCCAGTTGTACGAAGCCTGGATAGTGCTATCCGTGAGATAAATCTTATTCAGTGGATAAAATTACTGGACAACTGCATCGACTTATCCACTGGATGAGGATTTATCCGCCGGTTAGCGCTATCCAGGCTTCGTACAACCGGGCCGTGACAGATAAAACTGACGTTCAATGAGCGCGCGCTCTTTCCTTTGGTTGTTTTGATTACTAAAAACGAGAAGTTTTTATCGCTTTTGCTATTGTAAAAGACAAATAGACATCAGTTTTTTATGTGTCAGCTGTCCTCTCATTGACGATAAATTTCGTCATCACATCGTCAAAGTAGTATGCAGATACCCACACTACTTTGACAATGTGATGACGCAATTTATCGTCAATGAGAGAACAGACACTCATGTCACACTGATGTCTATTTGTTAATTGTACATATACCCCACAGAACTCCTGTTTCCAGTTGATTTAAAACGATCACCAACGAAGTTTGGGATAAACAAAATCCGTAATACTAACTTAAAGTAAACAAAGAAACAAACCATAGACAGGAATAAATTGAGAAAAAAGCAGAATATGATAAAAATATTGGCTCCGCCACGTGCAACTCTTACGCTACTATCGTGCTCTCCCAACTATCCGCGTGCACCATCAAGCACCATCAATAGATTTACGCACGCTAAGCATTGACCATTGCTTAATTATTAATGAAACCTGTACGTAAATAGTTAATATTCTCTTTTTCTATATTTCCTTTTAATTTATTTATAGTGGAAAAACTATTGGGCTTGATAAAATCGTTTTACCCAGTTAGATACTTTTAGATTCCAATTATTTCAAAAAAGCGAAATTGCCACAAATTGCTACCAGTGGATGTGGGCTTCTGTGCTTTATCTCTAATTAAGTCTAGCATTATTTTTTACTAGATGGGGCAGCCGTGTAGGATGGACTCGGATATCAAATAAGAACATGCGTAATAGGTAAATTACGAGCCTTAGATGAAACGACTGAAGAAGAGTGCCATACATGCCTTCCACAACTTCAAGTTGGGTAAAAAATGAGCCAGCTCAACTAGAAACCGAGGACAGCTGTTTCGGCCTGTATTGGGCCTCGTCAGCACGGTGTATCTAGTGATCTGGCAATCCCACGAAAAAGTGGGATGGGTTCGGATATCAAATATGAATTTTACCTATTACGCATGTTCTTATTTTRTRTCCGAGCCCATCCCACACGGCTTAATGCCTCATATATCTAGTACTACTTTAATTTAAATTTGCAAAACTGCGATGTCACTTTTCCTCGCTTGAAATCACGGATTTTCAGGCCAGAAAATTCAAAAAAKAATTGTTAATTACGTGCTTGATAACACAATAATAAATGAGTTTCATACTTTCATCGCAATRACGGGCATGTCTTTATTTAACAATGGCTGGCATCATATCACCGCAGTTTGCAGTGACGTCATTACAAAGCCACTATTTCAGAGCAGCTGGAATAAATTTCAAGCTCAGTAATCAAGTTGCAAGATGTAGTATGCAAGATGCAACGAAATCCTTACATTGTTTTGTTGAAATATACCATTGCTACCACTACCACTAACCTGACCATACCCAGATATATCCAGATAAACAACACATGACGTCTTGTGAACCACAGTAAGACCAACTCCTATACCACTACTACTACTAACCTG